TTTTTTTTTTTTTTTTTTTTAGAGAGAGGAAGGGAGAGAAAGAGAAAGAAACATCGATGTGAGAAACATCTATCAGTTGCCTCCCGCACGCACCCTGATGGGGAATGGAACCTGAAACCTTTCCGTGCCTGGGATGACGCTCAACCAACAGAGACACACTGGCCAGGGCAATCACACTCTTAATTACTCCCATCAAACATGATCTTCTTCCAATGTTTCTATATATAATTTAATGAAATTATTATTCATTCAAGTACACGTGTCAGAAATTTAGTAACACTTTTAACATTTACCTTTCATTAAATCCGATACCCATTTCTTAACCAAGGCTGTCAATTAGTACTTCCCTAAGTATCTTACATTTCTATACTTCTATCTGTATTGTCAAAACCCTAGTCCAAACTTCCAGAATCTCTCTCCTTGATTGTTTTAAAAACTTTGTAACTATTCCAGCTACCATGCTGCCCTCTGTAATATGAAAAACATCCTGGGTCAAAAGTTTTTAGTCCTCAAATCTGTAAGTGCTTGCAGAAATTATGATAGTCAAATACACAACAGAAACATGTATCTACATTACACACTATCATTAATAAACAGCATCTCCTGCTTGATTAGAGTAACTGGCTTGAGAAGTGGTAGAGCAAAAGGTGAATGTCAAGCACTATTTCCATTCTGCTACATCTTCTGCTCTGTGTCTGACCTTTCAAACCCAGAGTCTCTCTTCTGACTTTTCTCTTTCAACCTTTTCCAGATTATTCTGGGGTCATCTGAAAGCCTGGGAAGGTCTCGATGTGCTTCTCCAATATGGGTAATAAAGTCTTTAGTATGAAGATGTTCATCTATTTTCTCTTGGAGTAGAAGTGACTCCAGGAACGTCTTCCTTCGTTTCAGGAAGGCAGATTGAGCCAGTTCTGCTCTTTTTCTGTTACAATCAGGACACCTAGAAGAAATGTGTTGCTTAGCAGTTGCCACCTGTTTCAGCGTCGCCATCATGTTTTTTAAATAGATTCTGTTCAAAAGCTCATCAGGGACATCACAGTTTAGGGCATCTGTCCCTGAAGCCTCTGCATCCCACCTAGGCTGCAGCTCTTTACGACCGCTGCGCTTTTCGCCCGCAGAGCTTGCTCTGTGATGCATCAGGCTGATCCTCGCGGTGCAGAAGGCCTGCAGGGCACCCGGCTGGTCGGGCGCCCCGGTGGGTTCTGTCTGAAGCGGCGTGTCTGGCTGGTGCCCTCCAGAGTTCGTTTTTTTGCCCTTCAGGTAGATTATCCTTTTCCTACTAAACCTCTTTTCTGAAAGCTCAGATGGTCTATCTTGACGCTCCAAGCGTGGAGGCTTGCCCCCCGAGCCCTGGGGCCAGGGCTGCGGCCCTCCGGAGGAGGTGAGCGAGCCTGAATCCCGAACCTCGTCGGCGAAGGACTCGGCGGTCTCGCTGGGAGGGTCGACCAGCTCCTCGGAGCCCGCAGCTCCAGGCGGGCGGCCATCGCACTGCATCGGACTGCGCTCCTCGGCCGCGTCGCCTTGTCAACGTCAGCTCGGGAACAGTCAGGCCCGAGCCTCCCCCGGACGCGGCCCGCCCGAGCCCGCTACCTCCGCGGCT